GGGTGGGTGAGGAGGGGGAGGGGCGACCGGCGGCGGGGTGATCTGAAGGAGCAGAGATGCCATCAGCATGGCGAAGTGGTGCGAACGCTCGTCAACAAGGATGAATGGCAATAATGCGAGGATTAGCTACAGCGAAAGACCCCCCCGCCGCCATCCCTCGTCCGCTGCCGACGGTCTACTACGCCAGGCCAGGCCACTCTCCGCTGGAGCCACCTCGCGCTACGCCCCTCCCTCCCCACGGCCCGCCACTGCTGGGATAACGAGAGCAGACCGGCCCGGAGGGGACCGGAGGGGACCGGAGGGGACCGGAGGAGGGTCCCATAATGGAATGATGTCTTTCCGGCGCGTCGCATGGACCCAAATCTCTTTTTCAGCCCGTGAAAAATAATGAGGACTTTGTGACGGGGCGGGCGCGGAGGCACACTTTCGGCCGTCGATTTCCTGTCGAATCATTTCGAGGACGTAATCGGCTTTACACAAGAGCGAGATATTCGAGTGCAATAAGATCCTCAAAGGAGGAGACTTTGAGGGAAGAGAGGTCTGGTGCAAGCGCTTTCTGAGCGCCGCACCGCCTCTCATTGCGGTGTTATCAGCGCTCTCGAGATGAAGTTAAAATACGGGCGTTAGCGTCGTCGTACTCACAAGAAAAACTTTTCGTTCCAGACGGGGTTCAGCTCCTGCGGCATGGTCCGGGTGCGCTTCTTGACCTTGCCGACCTGGACGGTGACGTAGGGGTCCGAGGTGCCGCTCTTGTCCTTGGCGATGAGTCCCTGGGCGCAGATCACTGCAAGCACAGAGCGCTCTGAGCATCCAGGGGACCGGGGGGCCGACGGGCAGTTTACTTCAACACGGGACTGGGGCCTCGGAGGGTTTATCAAGAGAAATAAAAATAAATATATGCGTCCAATGACGAAGCGCACACCCTTCGGAACGCCGAGGGTGCAGGTAGAGGTGTAGCAAATAGTAGTAAAAGAAGAAGTAGAAGAACAACAACAAAACGACACTTGCATGCTCAAGGTTATGGAATTGAAACGATTACATGAGGTTTGAAAGGGATGTAACATTAACACACACGGGATACCCAAGTGTGTGAATGTCGCACACTTGAATGCTAGTGAGTTTTCATGAAGGTAGCAAGTGAGTGAAATTATAAGAAAAATAATTCACACTTTTTCTTGAAGAAGCGTGCGGTTGGGAATTCACACACCTACAAGTGCGCGGCATTCACATACTTGGGTTTCCACTTTGCATTGGCACCAAAGCACTGTGAAAAATTGTCGCACCGTTCAAAGTTGTAAATCTACAAGCACTGCGTATGGACAGTATGGACTTAAAATCGAGTGACGAGCAAGAGTTGGGGGTTGTACATGTACGACCTATTTTGCTAATGATACATTCAAAAATGTATCGTACATGTACAAACATATTTTTCACAGTGAGAAAGGAGGACAAGTTTCAACTCATTCACAAGATCGTCATGCAGAAAGCTAATGAGAGGGGCTGCCATGCAAGAAAGCGCGCCTACGTCGTCGCGGAGGGGCTGACACTGACATGAGGCGGCTCGATGTGCGGGCAGCTCGCGACCCGACATCCATTATTTCCTTTGCATTTTCTTTTGCTCCGCACTCGGCATCAGACACTCGACCCCCGACCGGCCGCAGCACCCCCACCCTCCTCGGGCCGCGGCCGCGCCTCAGCGTTCCTCCGCCCTCGAAATTAATTTAGCCGGACGATGGGCGGCTGAGGCGTGGCGGGGGCGTGGTGGGGCGTGGTGGGGCGTGGTGGGGCGTGG